AAACTTAGCTTGGAGAAAGAGCCCACATTTTCTATGACCCTGCATTTACCATAAGCATTCTCAGGGAAACTGATGGCTCACTCTTTCGACTCTAAATCAATTTGAGCTTCTCCCAAGAAATATCTAGTTACCCATTTTGGTCTCCCCACACTATCCTATTTCCCTATATCCGTACTCTAAATTGATTCAAGATTCTGTTAATAAACTCCTCTACCCCACAGATAAAGAAGACACCAAAGCAATCAACTTGATTGAAACGAAGAGACCAAAGCAATCAAACAAGCATATTTAGCATTACACACAGTGACCAAGCACATGGTAGCAATCAAAAATCACCAACAGAAACCCAAACCAAACTCATGCATCTTTTCATTCAAAGGTGTACTCAAGCAAGCACATATTTTTTAATCTACTTGAGGTCTATTAAAAAAAATAAAAAAGGAAACCCTGTATCATATGGCTCAAAAACTATGCTCTAATTTTTCATTTGCTAACACTGACATGAAGACTATAATATCTGCATGGAAGTATTAGATTTAAAATGCTTGTAACTATGACTCAAAAATTTATATATGTGAATATGTGTGGGAAGATAAGTGGGTGAGACAATGGGAGGGGGGAAAGTGTATATGAATTTAAGTACTCACTTGCTCCAATTTAAAAATATGCTGATTGAAGTAGTGCTGTAAACGTTCATTAGCAAAATTAATACAGAACTGTTCAAAGCTGTTATTTTCATAATCTTCAAACCCAAAAATATCAAGAACACCAATGGACAAAGTCTGTAAAACAGGAACAAAATTATGATGGTTAAAAAATGATCCTCAAATTTATTTCATGAATAATATCCACAATGATAGGTTAACAAAATGCTCAAAGTTCTTCTACAGCAGTGGACAGGAAATTTTGGGGAGCCAGTGTTCAACCAAAATATTCCACTAAATAAAAACAATTTTAGTTTTATTTTCATCTTTTTCTTTTTATCCCAATTATAAAAATACATCCAAAATTTTAACACATGTAATACACTGTTTACAAAAATGTTCAAAGCAGGGTTAGTGACCTGTTATCTCAATCTCAGAAATCCCTAAATTCCAAGAGAAAAGGAAATAGAAAGAATCACCTATGGGGAAGTAAAAAATAACCTAAAGCTAGATTTTTCCTGGCTATCCCAGGCTATGCAAAGAACACCATGCAAGTTTTCCTATTTTCACTTTTATAGCCCAACAGAATTCTGCTTTGCAAACCAAGCTAATTAGTATGTTTAATCAGCCTTGTGCAAGCTAAGGATGAAACTGGATATCAGAATATGTGGTTTCTTCAATTTTTAAAACAATCTTTTTAAAGATTCATTTATTTATTTTAGAGAAAGAGAGAGTGCGAGGAGGGGCAGAGGGAAGAATCCTCAAGCAGACTCCCTGCTGAGTGTGGAGCCTGACACAGGGCTCGATCCCACAACCCATGAGATCATGACCTGAGCTAAAACCAAGAGTCAGATACAGATGCTCAATTGACTGAGCCACCCAGGTGCCCCCAATTTTTTTTTAATTTTTATTTAAAAAAACTGTACAAAGTTTACGATGTTAAATAATTCTAAAAAATTATAACAAAAAACAATAATCCCTTTTTCATTATCAATTTCTGCTCCCTAAAGTCAACACTCAAATCTTTTATCTATTTGATATAAAATAGTACAGTATAGTATACAAATGCTTATTCTTCTAGGTCTTGATTATTTTGCTTCTACATACTATATTCTAACTTCTTACTATAGATAACAAGGATTCAGCTCTAATACCCCCAAACCAGCATTCTTCTCACCACCTCACCTCATTCTTAAAATAGTTACATGACAATTTTGGTTAAATGAAAACACTCTTTCTCCACTAGTACTAAGAGAGATACTGGGCAAACTAATGTAATGAGTTATAAATACCAAGAGATTTTTTTTTAAGATTTATTTATTTGAGAGAGAGAGAGGGAGAGCATGAGCAGGGAGAGGGGCAGAGGAAGAGGGGGAGAGAGAATCCTCAAGCAGAGGGACTGTGGACTGTGGAGCCTGACGCGGGGCTCAACCCCAGGACCCTAAGACTATGACCCAAGCTGAAACCAAGAGTCAGCCGCCCAACTGACTGAGCCACTCAGGTGCCCCAATAGTAAGAGATTTTTTAAAATCTCCATTAAGAGTATTTTCTTTGAGGTACCTGGGTGGCTCAGTCAGTTAAGCCTCTGACTGAAGTGATTTCTGCTCAGGTCATGATCTCATGGGTAATGAGATCAAGCCCCACGTGGGGGCTTTGCACTCAGCAGCGAGTCTGCTTGAGATTCTCTCTCTCCCCGCCTCTGCCCCTCCCCCTGTCTGCACTCTCACTCTTTCTCTCTCTCAAATAAATCTTTTAAAAATAAGAGTATTTTTTGATTGATTCTGTTAATTCTAAACCCTTATGAAAAACAGTAAAAGTAATGACCTTCAAAAATAAGTCACTTTGGTGAATAAGATTCCTATTACAATTTTCTAACGGTAGGCTTACTCAAACCATGAAAAATAAATGTTAGAACCATTTTACATTTAAGACCGGAGGATTAAGTGATAAAGATGACATATTTTAATCACCCTAAAGATGCAGACTACTCCACAGAAAGCTGCTGGGAAATAAAAACGGATTTGAAATGATTTAAATATCTAAGATCTGCCATATTAAAAAATAAATTCCAGGGGCGCCTGGCTGGCTCAATCAGTGGAGCATGTGACTCGATTTCAGGGTTGTGAATTCGAGCCCCATATTGAGTGTAGAGATTACTTAAAAATAAAATCTTAAATAAATTCCAATGGAAAAAAAAAAAAACCCTGAATATAAAAAATTAAAGTCTAAAAGCATGAGAATAAATATTTTTATAATCTTAGGCTGAAAGAGGCCTTCCTACATAAGAAAAATAAATAAATAAAACCCAGGAAAATAAAGGAAAAGAATGGGAGAATTAACTGCACAAAAATTTAAAACATACGGGCCCTAAAACACAACATAAACAAAACTTAAAAGTCAAGAGAAAATATATGCAATATATATCAAACTATGAATCTCTGCAATATCCACAGTGACTCCAAGAAAGTAACAAAAAGACAAAATGAACAACATAAAAATAGCAGAATATATAATGAAATGATGAAAAACCATGAGAAGATACTCGACTTTCATCTATCATTGAAAAAACGGACAATAAAATGGGATAGTCCTCCTAATCAGATTAGTAGATGAAAAGACTGATAATATCCAATGTGAGTAAAGGTGTAGGGAAATAGGCATTTTCATACACTACCAGTGGAAGTGCAGTCTTTTCTGAGCACTTTAGCAATTTAGCAGTAGCTAACAAAATTCTAAAATGTATATATTCTTAAATCCAGCAATTCATTTTAAGGATTTTATCCTAAAGAAGTGTACACAAAGAATATTTGTTACATCATCATTTATAACAATAAAGCAAAAGCAATATATTTTTATGGGGAAATTTATGGTATACAGGCATACTATATAATATTACAAAGTTATTAAAAATAATGAGGTCCAAAGCTACTTCAAGACATATCAGGTAAAATAAAAAATACAAGTTAGAAACAATACAGATAACATAATTCTATTTTTAAGCTTAAAAGCAACTCTGTATACGTACATCCATAGAAATGTACATAAGAAAAAGGTCTGGAAAGACACATAGAACAAGTATCCCTGAATATCAGGGTAATAAAAACATACATACATAAGGAGGGAAACAGCACAGAATATAAAAAAAAGGTGATTCTTATTTATTACTCTACATAATTCTGTGTTTTTAAATTTCATTTATTATTTTAATAAAAATTTTCCAGGAAAAATATATAATAATCCAGTGTATGTCTACCTTTGTATTTTGCTCCAAATCTTTACTATTCAGAAGTGCATGATTAATCCGAAAAACTATCCAGTCAAACAGGGCACTATATAAAGACTTAGCCATGGAGTTCCTCACTGTCACAGCCTGAAAAAAAAAAAAAGAAAAGGGTTGGAGAACAAATGAAAATGGCAATAATCTAAGATATTATAACAAAGTGTATTTTGCGCTCAACTAATAAAGAAAGCTTACGATCCTGAATTAGAAATTTAATTTTCTCTCAATTTAAATAGCCTATAAATGAAGTTTTCCATATACCCATACTCATTAATCTAGTCTCAACTCTAATCTAGGCTAAAAGGTAAGAAAAACAAAATGTAGGTCACTCAGTTCAAAATACTTTGACTGAAAATTGGGGTATACATTTTACCTAGTAAAGAAGGTATAATAGGAGGTTTACAAACAAATCAAACTTGCCAGCAAAAGTGGGGAAGACTATTCCAGGCAGAGGAATAAATCTGTTGGCAAACAGGCATCAGTTATCTGTGGAATCCTAGTTAGACTCTTAAAAAATAATCATAATACCACCACAATTACATTCCTGGTTGTCTTCAACTTGTCATCCACCATAACCTCAAGGATTTCTCCATCCCCAAATAGAGTAATAATTCTTTCATTATGGAGTAATACAATTTCTTTTTTCCCCCTCACTTCAAACTTTTCCCAGTTTATGGAAACTCTCTGTAATAACTGCTCAAAATTTCTGTAAATCTGTAATTGTTCTAAAAAATAAAATCTATTAGTTAAAAAAACAATCAACATTTAGAAAGTACTACAACCTAAAAAAGGAGGGGTACATATTTTAGATAATTGAGTCCTAGCACTTAGAGAATATAAGTCCTAATTACTTAAGCTTTATATTCAGGTACATACTTAGTATCTGTCCTACAGTTTAGAGGAAATAGAGAATAAGGATTAAAAGCTAGGCTGTCTTCCAATCCCAGTTCCTCTACTTATTCTAGGTATGTAACCTTGGCCCAAGATACTTTAACTCTTAAGCTACAGCTTATACATTTGTAAAATGTAGATAATACCACAATCTACCACATGAATGATGAATTTCTGAATTTCAGTGAATAAAAAAATGAAAGCTTCAAGTTTCTAGACCAAAAAATTAACTACCTAAACCATTACCTGCACCAGGAAAGAGAAGATGCTATCAAATTCTCTATCTTCAACACCAGAAACCTGAACATAATTGGAAAATGTTCACAAGTTCTGAGAAAAAAAGGAATGTGACCCTAGAATTCTATACTTAGGCAAGCTATCAACAAAGTATCTTTAAAATTCAAAAAAATCAATTAATAGAATATATAGAGAGAATAACCATTCTATTTTTCTCCAGAGGGAAGAATGAATACAATCTGATCTAGTTCAGCAAAAGTAAAAGATTTTAAAACTAAATACACAACCATAAACAAGAAAAAAAAAAAAAAAACACAGAAAAAGAAAACATAGTAGCATAAAAAATACAAATGGGTTGAAGTTTTTAGTGAAAAGACAGATCTTCACATTAAATTAAAAACTATAACCCACCTACTTATGGTTTAAACCAGTCAGACAGAATCTAGATATACAAAATATACCAAAATAATACTTATTTACTCCATAACTTCCAATATTATATTTTTGGCCTCTTTTCTCTGAAATGTGGTCCTATCACAGCTTAATCTCAATAAACCCAAATACCAATTAACATTTTCCCACCCAAACAAGATCTCATTGTTTCCTATCTCAATGAATGCTACTAATACTCTTACAGTTGTATGAGCCAGGAAATTAGGATTTATCCTTAGTATTTCCTTCTCTCTCCTTGCTTCCCAGTAAGCAAATCATTGCCAGATCCTTTTGATTTTACCATCTAAATTTTTTTCATACCCATTTCTCCCTATCAATATGTCACTATCCTAGACAAAGCAGCCAACCTCTTTCTCTTCAGGAGTACTACTACAGCCTCCAAATTCACTCTTGCCCTCTATATTAGAACCCTAAGATGATCGCCAAGATTCCCATTCCCTTGTATACATGTTCTGTATAACCCCCTCCTGTTAAGTGTGAGCAGGACTGTAAATATGATGAATTTCACTCCAGTAACTATCTTACATTATATGACAAAGGATTTTAAAGATATAATTATGGCCCAAAATCAGCTGATTTTTTTAATTAACCAAAGGAAGATTATATTGGGTAGAGCTGAGTTAATCAGAGAAATCTCTTAAAAGAGACTGAGCCTTTCCATTAGAGAGTCCCCTGCTGGCCTTTGAAGAAACAAACTGCCATGTTGTGTACAGGACCACAAGCAAACTCTGCTGAGCATGGCCCCTGACAGCTAACAAGAAATTAGTGCTCTCCAGAAATGGACCCTCAACTCTATGGTCAACTAATCTTCAACAAAGCAGGAAAGAATGTCCAATGGAAAAAAGTCTCTTCAACAAATGGTGTTGGGAAAATTGGACAGCCACATGCAGAAGAATGAAACTGGACCATTTCCTTACACCACACACAAAAATAGAC